AATTAGAGTTAGTTTCGATATGTTACTATTCTGATAGTTTCGTATATCAGCAGGTTAGTATATCAACACATTGATGTGTTCGAGAGGCAACATATTTGTATACTTGCATATTCGTAGATTTAATACTTTAGTACAACTGATGCATGAGTAAACTAGTATATTGGTCTATTAATATATTAGTATATTAATATACCAGTATATTCGTACATTAGTGTATTAGTATACTAGTATATGCAATATACGTGTATTGTCTAAAGATTTATAAGTGTATCAGTATGTTATCATATTAGTACACTAACCTGCCACGTCGGTATACTTACGTTTTACAGTAGTCGCATACTAGTATTGTAGCATACTAGTATAATAGCATACTAGAATAGTATATTCACACATTAACAAGTAGTGTATTGTTACATTGGTATATGGGTATATGGCCCAAAACATCAGTACATGAATGCATTGATACATATCGGCATTTTAAGTTAATGGTATGTGTTCTGGTGTGCATTAGCATATGCACGTGTCTTTTGTAATGGTATTAGTCTTCACATCAATATGAATATGACTATTGGCATTCGTAGGAGTATTAATGTTAATATTCGTATTAGGATTATCCATAGTCGCATTAGCCTTAGTATAAGTGTTAATAATGGTATTAATACTGGCATTATCTTGAATATTCAGCAAGTTATCAATGTCAGTGTTAGTATTGGTGACAGCATTACTGTTAACAGCATAAGAGTATACGCAGTAGTATCCGTAGGAGTATCAATACTTATGTAAATCTTGGTGTTGGTATAAACAGTGTGATTGGTATTAGTAATAGTGCTAGTGCGAGTGATAATATAAAAATGAGGTTATGTATTCGCATGAACGTTTGTCTTATATTAGTATTACTCCTGATTACATGAAAATACTAACAGATAAATACATGCATGAGCTAATGTATTTGTACTTTAATATAGTGGTATGTATATTTATGTACATTGGTATATACAGGTGTGTATTAGTATTGGAATTAAAATACACTACTACCAATATGGGCATAATTATTGATATGCGTAGGATTATGAACGTCAGTATTAATCATTGTTAGTATTTGTTATTTGTATGGTGCCTATTCGTATTGGCTTAAAAAAGTGTAAATATTAGTGTTAATGCTGGTATCAGCTTGGGCAGTCAGCAGATGATCAATGTCAGAATGAGTATTGATAATAGTATTCGTAGGAGTACCAATTTAGAAAATAGATAAACACTGACAATCGTCTAAACAGACCTTGCCTTTGCAAGTGAGTCGTAGTGCATGGTCTGTCATCCGATGGGTCACAATCAGCCCATTGAAAATCAATTCCAGAAGTTCCAAAATTTCCAAAATTTCCAAGATCTCCGAAATATCCGAAATTTCCGAAATTTCCAAAATTTCCAAAATTTCCAAAATTTCCGAAATTTCCGAAATTTCCAAAATTTCCAAAATTTCCAAAATTTCTAAAATTTCTAAAATTTCCAAAACGGCCCGACCTAGCCGACAGGATTTTTGCAAAACATAAGGGCGGACTCTTTTTGAAATTTTGGAAATTTTGGAAGCTTTGGAAATTTTGGAAATTTTCGAATTTTTGGAAATTTTGGAAATTTTGGAAATCCGGAAAGTTAGGGGAATGAATTTTGGAAACTTTGGAATTGAGTTTTCGAAAGCTGAGTGCCACCTCCCCCCGATCACAGACCATGCGCTACGACTGAGTTGAAAGGGCATGGTCTGTCAACGGGTCTCAATCTTTTGGTGGTTCCACAGATACGTTCGGAGGGCTCAAACTCGATACCCCGGAAAAAGCACGAACACGCCGGTGGGAGCGATGTTTTGAAGGGGATGGTCTGTCATGGGGGGGGGGGTGACCATATATATATATATATACACACACACATATTCGTTTTTTGTATGATCTTCGCCTTTGTCTAGTTAGTCCTAGTATAATTCTATATTCGCAAGTCTATGGATAAATTGCAATCTTAGAATACGAGTCTAATAGAATATTAGTATATTATTATATCGGAATGGAAAATATGATTTATATATATATAATATATATATATATATATATTATTATTATTATTATTATTATTATTATTTTTATTAGATTTGATTTGCCCATGATTAGTGGTATTCGTAGGAGCATTGATACTTATATCAATTTCAGTATTATTAGAATTTCTATGCAAAACCGTATTAGCTGGAATATCAAATGGTAATTTTGATTTCATATAAGTTCCGATTATTTGCTATTGATATAAATATTGAGAATAATTGATAAGAATATGAGCATTAATATTCGGAAGAATATCATTCTTTATATATCTTGATATTAATATTAATCTTAATGTCAAGATGAATATGCTTTCAAATATTCGTAGGATCACTAGTATTCATATTAATATCAGAAGGACGAAATAATGGAATCCATAGGAAAAGTTATTTATGTATCATCCAATATTATTATCGGAATGAATATTAAAATTATCTTCGAGTACGGGTATTAAGATGAAGGCATACGAATATTAATTTTGATATACAATTATATATATTTGAATTAGTATTAAAAGCTATTCGGGAATTCTCCAAATGATTTCTTAATATTAATATTGATATTGCGAAAATTTTCAAGAATAGATATATTCGTAGCAATATCAATATTTCTATTAGCATCAATATTGGCATTAATATATAAATCAATATTCGTACTAATAATATCATTAATATGAATATGATGACCAGTAGTCGTAAGATCATTAGAATTCATATTCGTATCAATAGTGCCATGAATATTACTAATCATATTAGTATTTATAGTAATTTCAAATTTAGTATTACTATTTAAATTAATATTCGAATAGCTATTCAGAAGAATATTAATATGAATATTAGTACATATAATTGATATTAATATTCAATCCCCCCAGCATTGATAGACCATGCCCTTATGATAGTCGGCTGAGATATTATATTTAAATTCCTCACATATGACGATAATCTGCAAAGCAAAATATTTACAGTTCATATACCAAGTATACTTTTAACATGCCATGTATTGAGGACGCAAGGACCAGACGCGCGATACGTGAATTATTAGTTTTGTGGTAGCATTGATATTAGGATGAATATGAATATTAATATTGGTATTAATATTAATATCAATAATAATATTAGTATTTATTGAAAGCATATATATATATATATGGATATATCGGCATTATTAAGTATACATTAATGTTAGTGCTCATCTTCGTTTTAGTCTTAGTGTTAGTGCCAGTGTCAATGCCAGTAATAGTTTCATTGCTAGTATAACAGTCTTCATGCTGGGCTTAGTATCAGTTCATGATGGCAGAGGCAGAGGTGCTAGTATTGGAATCAAAATTAGTTTTGATATGATACTATTCTGATAGTTTCGTATATCATCAGATTATTATATCATTTTATTAATGCATTCGAGAGGCAACCCATTTATATATTTTGGGTATCCGTAGCTCGCAAACCAAGTCGTAAACCCCAGAAGCGCACTTGAAACGGTCGGTATAGACGGGACCTTCACGGACCCTGCGCTTGTAAAAAAAAGAATATTCGTTGACTTAATTCCTTAGTACAACTGATGCATGAGTAAACTAATATATTGGTCTATTAATATATTGTATATTAATATACCAGTATACTGGTATATTAGTATATTAATATACTAGTATATGCAATATACGTGTAGGGCGAACTTTTTTGGAAATTTTTGAAAATTTCGGAAATTTTGCAAATTTCGCGAATTTCGGAAATTTCCAATATTTCCAAAATCCCCAGACCTCGTGGACAGGATTTGTCCAAGCCATAAGGACCAACTTTTTGGAATTCCTGGAACCTCCTCGAAATTTTGGAAAACTGAAAATTAGGGGCGAGAATTTTGGACATTCTGAATTGATTTCGGGAGGGCTGATTGTCATCCATCCGATGACAGACCAGGCGTTACGACTCACTTGAAAGGGTATGGTCTGTCAACGGGGGGGCGACCATATTAATATATCTTACTACTCGACTTAGCATTCGGTAAAATATAGATATGAATATTCATTCGTAGAAATAAAAATTTTAGAATTAGTATTCATATTAGTATTTGCTATTATAAGTATTGGCATATGAACAATCTAAGATCTTCATATAGAATGAAAATATGCGTCCATCTAATCTTCATTATGATCTTAGATATGATGCACTCATCTTTCTGAATTAATTCCGTCTTTAGATTATATCTTTGATTATTCTTTAAATTCTGTCTATGATTATGAATTATATAGAAAGAAATCATAGATTTGCGCAATAATCGGCCTATTTAACGGTCTTATATAGGATGCATATATCATTCTGTCTTGGTCTCCTCCTTATGTTATTCTTATCGTCATTATATGAATAGAATTATGAGTATTTGGAATATATAGGCAACCAAAAATATGGGTATTGAAACTTGCCCAGATTCGCCAACGACGATATCGTCGTAACCGCTATCATTATAATATATTCAGCTATTAGTATCCACGATATATCTTTCTATTATTTATATATGAATGTATTTAATCATATATTCTAATTTCCGAAAGCCCTTAGATATTCCATCCCTTGCTAGTCGAATCACCTCGCGGAAGGTCTTTATATTTTATTTCATTATTATATTACCTTTGAATGTCATTCAAAATTTCTTTTGATGAAATTTCAGTTTATATTTCCAATTCAATTTCTATAATTCTTCCTTGAAGAAATTTTCTATATTTCTAAAGGCTCGTCATTATAATTTTTTTATCTTTAATTTGCTATCTCCTAATCCTTTTCTCAAGGCGTCTCGGCCCTCAGCTTCGCATGCTGCATGTCGGTTTGGATCTATGATGAAGTCATGGTTCAACGTTTTCTATGTATATTCACTTTTTGGTTGTTGAGAAGAGAGCCGGCATTTTGCTGGCTACACCGCCAGAGCCCAATGTCGGGAAGCGCGGGAAGTGAGAGCCACCAGCGTGAGCTCGAGCAGGCCACTGGGTTCATGATGGAGCAGCGCCGGCTCACAGAGCACACGGCCTACCAGGCTCAGCAGGCCATGTGGTTTGCAGCGCGCCACAAGCGTGGACCGCCCAGCACGGTGGAGAGCTCCATGGCTACACCGCAGCAAGACACGGAGATGGAGGAACGTCGGGCACCTCTGCCAAACCCTTTTACCCCCCATCCCTGTCGAGCGTGATGCTTCCTTCACCATGGCTGCAGCCCAAGCTGGCGTGGATATCAACAGCGAGAGCGATGTGCAAGCCTACCTGGCTACACCGCTCACCACCAGAACACAGGTGCTGGACACTATTCGGCACTACCATGTGGGGGTCATCAGGCCTGAGGTCTTTATTCTCATCAGCCAGGTCGAGCAAATCCAAGCTCGACGACCGGATCCTCAAGACCCAGGACAATATGAACTGGCTCGCCACAGAGTGCAGGACACTTCAAAAAAGGGAGTGGGCTGCTGGTGGTCACAACAGGTTGGGACACGTCTATATCTCCACAGCAAAGGCTCTTCCAGATCAACTGGATGCTGGGCCAAGTGGAATCTATCAGGCAGTTCCTTACCCAGCGCAGCTACAACGCCTCAGACTCCTGCACCTACTGGTACTTGGGAGCTCTTCAACTGGAGCCGAGTACACCGCCTGCAGGGGACAGCCGTTGGTCGACCGTGACCATTCTGCAGTTCAAGTCGTGGGACTTGCGGCGCTCTTTCATGGAGTGCTATGGTGGAGGTAATGGTACACCGCTGTACCGTGAAGACAACCAGCCAGTGCCCAACCACCATATCCGCTGCACCCCCTCCTCACCGCAATTTCAACGAAAACTTGAAGTTCCTTTGAGGGTGGTGCTTGCGCTCTACAACAAGCACTGCGAGATGACGGCTACACCGCCTGGCCAGATCGTCATATTGTGGCGCACACTTACTGTGATGAAGCCATCGGACAGGCGCGACTTCAACGAGCAGGCCGAGGCGTGGGCGAGAGTCTGCTACGAAAACGAAGGCTCCGTCCAAGGCATCCTGGAAGTGGCCCCGGACCTCTATGCCATGCTGAAGGCTACACCGCCTTTCGGAGCAGAGGAGAATACACTCTGGGACCACATCTGGAACAAGACGGTATTTGGAGTGCAGAATGAGATCGACGCTGTTGAGAGCCAGATTTTTAAGCAAGCTCAGGCCTCCGCCAAAGGCGGCGGCAAAGGGCTACACCTCGGAAAGGGCAAAGCCCTCTGGTCCTCGCCGTTTATCCACAGCAGCACCGCTTTTATCCCATTCCCGGTCCCTCTTGCGGTGAATGAGGTTTCAGCTGTGGCATATTCGTGGGATGAGTATTGCGACAAACTTCGCGATCCATCCAAAAAGGTGGGCAACTATGCCTTGGGTACATATGCAGGTGCACCATAGGCTACACCGCCAGGAGACGAAGAGATGGGGGGAGATCCTTTCGAAACCCCTTCGGGCCATACCGCAGTGGCAGCCAGCACGGCCAAGTGCCAAGGGTGCAGGCAAGTCGGGCCGTGGCAAAGCCAAGTCCTGAAGGTCTCCTGGCGCGGTTCCACTTTTTTGCACGTTTCGCCCTGAAAATCGGGATACACCGCCAGGCTCCCCGGACCCCTCGACTTACAGTTTTTTAAGGCAGCCTCCCTCCTTTGAACACTTTCTTAAGGGTTGGCGCCGTCAAGCGGCTGGGTTTCAGAGTCGCGAGGCTTTTCTTTTAATTTGGCGAGCGCATTTTCCACTGCGCCTTTTGCAGAGCAGTCTCCACTCAAGGCTACACCTCCTACAACACAGTTACGGTTGGGATAGGAAACCCATACGCAGAAAGGATTTTAGGCGAAGGCCCAAACCCAAACCTAAAAGTAGAACCCTTGCCCCCGCACTTCGTAATTACTTCTCCCGCCTAACCTGTGGCCTGCTCCTACCTTTTGCGGTTCTTCACTTCTACACCGCCCCAATAAGGTACTCCTTTTCCATATAATAGCCATGGAGTCCCTTGTAATTCACCTTTTGTTTTTGCTGACCCTCCGCACTACGAATAAGTGCTGGCAAAAGAGAGAGTCCGCCACTCAGAGTACACCGCCGATAGGAAAGGTCTGCCACCCCTTCCTTGAGCTAGCCCTACACCCAACATATTCCGTGGTAGCAGCCTTTATCCTAGTAGCCTCAGGTACCCTAGGATACGACCTTTGGTTTCAGCTACACCTCAATGCCTTAATGCACGCCCTACATGGTAATACCACCACGAGCCCCCGAATTATCTCCTTGACCGAGGCCCTGCAGTCTGACACGTTATTGGAGCCCGAGTTTGCCATGAACCTTATAAAAATTTCGCGATCGGCACTCCTAGAACTCAGGCCCAAACCCGACCCCACTAGTACGTTCAGTGACTCCGTCAGCACCCCCCCGAAAACCCAAAGCACCTCGCGATTTCACCATAGAACCGGTCGCCGCAAATGTGGTTACACCGGCTTAGGCATTAAGTACTTTGACACTAACAAACCAAGAAGGTCTTCCGTGCCCCCTAAAAGGCCCCGGCACAATTTCCTTCTAAAGCATCACAGTCATCACATAATTCAGATAATTAACAGAATTCAGTAAATCAAGCTGTAAAGCCGCCTCCGCTTCAACGAGGCACGCCGGGAGTTGCTAAGGCGACAGTCGAAAAGAGTACACCCCAAACCGGCATGCGGATCAAAAAAAAATTTAATCAGGATCAAAAAAAAATTTATTTGGGATCAAAAAAAATTTAAGCAGGATCAAAAAAAAATTAATCCTGCGTAGTAGTAGTAGTAGTAGTAGTAGTAGTAGTAGTAGTAGTAGTAGTAGTAGTAGTAGTAGTAGTAGTAGTAGTAGTAGTGGTGGTAGTAGTAGTAGTAGTAGTAGTAGTAGTAGTAGTAGTAGTAGTAGTAGTAGTAGTAGTGGTGGTAGTAGTAGTAGTAGTAGTACTAGTAGTACTAGTAGTAGTAGTAGTAGTAGTAGTAGTAGTAGTAGTAGTAGTAGTAGTAGTAGTAGTAGTAGTAGCGTGGGTGGGGGCCCTCCCCTCCACGCCTTTGCCGCACCCTTCCGTACCAAAACCACCATGATTGTTATGTTTGGGGCTCGCCCTCGTCCCCCTCCCCTCTCCCCCCCGTCAGTGGTGTCGACCTTGTTGAAGCCACGCGCCAGTATCATGCCGACTGGCATACAGGTGAGGAGAAAGCTCGCAAACGGAACTTTCCAAACTCTCAGAAGGTAGGCGACTTCGCTCACCTTGTCGGCGCGTGCGCCCGCAGGACCAGGACTGCAGGGAGCAGCGCAGACCAGACAGCGGCGGCCTGGAGGAAAGGCATTTTCAGCACCTTGAACAAAACACTGACTGCATCTGGCAAAAAACTCCTGCCTCTCATTCGACATACTGTGTATGTGCTGCGATCTGTGCCCACGTTGTTGCTTTTTCACAAGATCAGCAGTTTGCTGTTCGCTGCTTTGGAAGTGCAGGAGCCGTCTGAAAAGAAGGCTGTTGCTGCGATGCAGAAGCACTACTTCACCAAATTGGGCCGTGCTCAGGCTCCGGCAGATCTGGATTTTTCAGGCGCCTTCATGTGGTGCGCGGATTGGTGGACCGGCCTCCAGCGAAGCCAGCCAGGCTCGGCCTCGGGCACACAAGCGCAAGAGTCTTGGCGCAGACACAAGCTGAAGAAGGCCATGGGAAAGCTGCGCAACTCCTTGGACACTGTAGTGCAGAAGCTGAACAACTTCACACAAGTGCGTCTGGAACAGCTGCAGGCCAAGGCTGCGCCGCTTCCGGATGTGCCGCAGGAACCTTTCCCCGATCGTTTCGTTCTGTGGGATTCTACTGCGCTTACTGCGGAAGGGCGCTCGTCGGCTTCCCAGTATCACCGATGTCGCGCTTTTGACGTCTACTCAAGCGGCAACACGACCTGCTTCGCCATGAAGCGCACCCTCGCTTCCTACAGCCCAGATGCAGGTGCTTGGTCCCGGACCCCGGATGAGGACGTGGAACCCGTCCCTGCCGGTACGGCCAAAGCGCTTCTGGCCATTCTTGAAGCAAAGTCGCCGGCCTCCTTAGATGATGCTTTGAAGCACATGTGCGAAAACACCCTTGATTTGCAAGCTCTCGTTAAGTCTGTTGCAAAGTATGTCGTGGTCGTCGTCGGACCTGCCGCTGCTCGCTGGTGGCAAAGAGGCCACAGTCATGATGCGGAAGGTGAGAATCCATACCTAAATGTGGCCTGTGCGTTCTGCAACATCTTTTGCCTGCACGGCTCTTGCGAGCATGCGCACCTCGCCCTCACAGAATTGAAGCATGTCTCCTTGACGCAAGCAAAGCTACCGTCTCGAAGAGAAGCCCGCGAGCCTACCGAGCACCTGGCAGAAGTTGACATGATCTTGCCAGGTCCGGAAGCCTTGCCCTGTGGCGTCGGTGTTTCGGCGCCAGCTGGCATTCTGCCTCGCTCCAGCGTGTCCAAGCCGGATCCTTCCATGAAAGCCCTCCTGAGTCGGTGCGGCGCCGGCAGCTTCCTGGCCTTGTTCACAGCTGAGCAAATCGGTTTGCCAGACCTCGTCACCCTGGACTTTCCTGGCTTGCGTGCAATTTTCCCCAATGTGCCTGCCGGGGTTTTGCTGCGAGTTCATCAAGCGGCGGCCAAAGCCTGAGCCTCAGCAGTATGCGGTCGGATGGTGTAAATACAAGCAGTCGGCTTTCAGTGTTTGTGAAATTCAGGCTCAGAAGCCCAGCGAGGCACCGTCGGGAGACATGGAGAGATTTCGGGAGCCTTGTGAAGCTTCGACTTACGGCTTGCCCGATCGTCCACTGTGCAGGTCGTCCGCGAGAACGGTTCTGAGGCCGCATTTTGTCCAAGAGTATGTTCATCAATAGTTCAATGTTACACTACACCTGACCTTGTCAACTGCGAAGCAGCATTTGCTCGCACTGATCAGGATCCTCTTGAGGCAGCTGCACAAGACGAGGCCGTTTCCCTGGTAGAGTTGACACAGCTCCGGCGTGTCCATGCAGATGTGGCTTGTCCTCGCATCTTGCACGCAGGATGGCGCGGACAAGGTTTCGGAGGCCGCAATACTTCCGCAGACGTCTCTGACTTGCAGATGTGGCTTGTCCCGCATCTTGTGTGCAGGATGGCACCGACAAGGTTTCGGAGGCCGATATACTTCCGCAGACTTCTCTGACTTGCAGATTGCCTTTGCCTTGGTGCAAGTATATATTGCCTGTGAGGCTACAAGCGCGCAGGGCTCGGACGAGGCTACAGATGAGGAGGAAGGTGAGGCCAGGCCCCGAAAAGCAGGGGCAGTCACACTTGCAAAGGCAGTTCGCCCTACCTCCCTTGTCACATGTCTCTTGCTTATATGATTACTTTAGGCCTCGGGGCACCCGATGTACACATACGTGTCCGCACTCTGTCGTTGTGCTGCGTTCTATTCTATACAGGACGAGGAAGAAGAGAATCCGCCACAGGCCCGAGCAGCCTCTGCGTCAGTAGTGGCAGGTAATGCGTTGCCTGGTGCGTCGCATCTATTCGCACAACTGAAACTTGACTGCTCGACGTGAGCCTTTGCTTTGCAATGCATGTTTCACTCGTCCTCACGCAATGGCCACAGCTGCCCTCTCTCCGAAACACGCTGTGCAGGCAAGCGCTTCAGCTGCTGCGAAGTCCGCCGGAGCCCTAGACTCCGTTCGAAAGCAGAACTCCTTGTAGAAAACTTGAGACCGACGTCTTCTTGTGGTCTTCCGCTTCAATCCATCTCCCGTTCACGGCCACACTGTCACTGTGACATGTTGCCTCCCTTGTCACATGTCGTTCCTGCTTATATGGTTAAGTCAGGCCTCGGGGCAACTGATGCAGACATAGGTGTCCGCGCTCGGTCGTTGTGCTGCGTTCTATACAGGACGAGGAAGAAGAGCATGCGTCAAAGGCCCGAGCAGCATGGCAGTTTGTGCGTCAGCAGTTCCAACTGAAACTTGATTGCTGGACGTGAGCCTTTGCGTTCAATACATGTTTCACTCGTCCTCACGCAATGGCCACAACTGCCCTCTCTCCGAAACACGCTGTGCAGGCAAGCGCTTCAGCTGCTGCGAAGTCCGCCGGAGCCCTAGACTCCGTTCGAAAGCAGAACTCCTCCTAGAATTCTTGACGTCGACGTCTTCTTGCGGTCTTCCGTTTCAGTCAGTCTCCCCTTCACCGCCACAGTGTGACATTTTGCGCAGGAGTCTCCAAAAGCAGCGAGAAGAAGTGTCCGAAACCTGGATAGTTGCTTCTTTCGCAAGATGATGTCAGATCCATTGTGCCACGACAACGAGGTCCTGAACACCCCGCCACGAAACTGTGAATCGTGGGCAGTGAGTGTGTACGGATGCGTGCACAGGTCCCCTCGGGGGCAAGAGGGCTTGGTGTGCAAGAAAAACCCGGAAAACATGCGGGTTTTGACTGCCGGTGAAAGCACGGTCGGCTTATCCTTCTGCACACCTGCCTGTTTCACAGAGCGGCTGCCGGAGGAGAAGGCGCACGCCCCGTAAAAGAAAGGCGTCTGTGTGCTTCAAGTCGGCAGGCATTGCACAGGCACCATTTCAGGCAGGGTCATACGGAAGATTTTCCGCTTGGCTGAGGACGGCGAAGCAGCAAACTCCTCTGCGTTGCGAAACACTTTCTGCACAGAATCCAACCTCTGTCCTCCTGGCCCGATTTGCAGACATTCCATGCCTGAGCGCGTGGGGTCGCAGACCTAGCCCTCTACTATTGGCGGGATTCAGACTCAGACACAATGGAGAGCACGACGAAATCGTTTCCCGGGAAGTACTGGCAGCTGAAGGAGCAGCAGGAATGTATCTTCCGCGAAGTACGGGCGCATAATTTTTTTTTGATCCTGTTTAAATATTTTTTTGATCCTTGGGGCAGTAAGTTTTTTTTTGATCCTGTTTAAATTTTTTTTTGATCCGGTACTCCCCCAAACCCCTCCTCCCTCTTCCCTTTTAGGCTGGGGTGCCCGGGCTCGCGCGTCACGCAGGCGATTTTATCGCCAGTGGCTGCGGCTCGCTAGGGAAAACATACTACCGGAGCGCTTGGGTAACGCGTCGGTAAGAGGAGGGGATCCCTTGAAAGCAGTCAACCAATGTAGGCTCAAGGGTATACCCAATGCCACCGCATTTCGTAACCTAGTCCTAAAGCAGACTTCACTTTGTTCTCGGCGCCAACCTATACAACGCCCCCAGGCTACACCGCAACTTAGCTATGGGACCAGGCTTAGGATAGGCACCCAGAACGTTCAGGGCATGATGGAAATACTCAAACACCAATCCGTCCTCCAACTTATTAAGGATACTCAATTAGACTTGCTGTTCCTTACGGAAACCCACGCAAAGTCGTACTACGCGTTCCATTGCAGTCACAACCTCTTTGTAGTCAACGGCAATAATAAAGATAAGTGGTCGGGGGTAACGGCAGTGATTACACCGCACCTACAGCCCTACATGAAACAGGTCATTCAACATACTTCCCGCATCCTGCAAATCACCCTTTCCGCGTCGTCCGGGAATATGCACTTTCTAGGGGTTTACGTCCCCCATGATAAATCGGACATAGAAACCCGAAAGGACCCTTTTGGCAGAAACTAGAGCACATAGTTTCGGGCATACCTTTACCAGAACCTTACTACATCATAGGAGAGTTTAATGTTCGACTTCAGGGCAGAAGCAAACAGGAACACGATCAGCTCGGCCCCCACATATACGGTAAAGGCTTCTTGCAGGCTAATACACAGCCCCAATCAAACCGCACTTACTACCTCAACCTTCTCCAGTCGGAAGCCGCGGTGGACCCACTTACTTTTAAGAAACCTAACCTCCTGAAGCACGTCACCTACCGGGATAAATACCCACCTCCCCAAACCTGGGAACAGTTTGTGCTAGATCCTCTTATCATGCTTCAGGTCTGGGATAAAATACAATCCCTCCCCGCCACCCCAGATGCTGCTCTCCAGATCGCCTCTCATATCCGAAATTTCGTCGGACTTGACTACACCGCCCCTCAGCACTTGGCTACACCGCAAGTAGACCCCTTTAGATTCCAAAACTTAGACAAGTTAGTCACGCGCAAAAAATGGCTCCCTATTATCCTTAGACTGGAATCTAAACTCCACTCGGGTTTCCCTAGCGACCATTACCTTTTACAGGCTGACATCAGGGTCAAGCTCGGCGCAAAAAAGCACCCACCCCCACGACCCCCCAAGTTCGACTACACCGCCACCCCGCAAACTAAACAACAATTTAACACAGTCTTTAGACAACAAATGGGGCTACAGCAACAGGCCCCTGCAGCCAACACGCACAAACACGTACAGGTTTACACAGATGGTTCGGGCTCCTCCGGACGGTGCACTGCTAGCACCCCCGCCGGCTGGGGATTCGTGCTCTTAGATAACGACACCCCAGTCCACCAGGCCGGGGGCCCCGTTACAACTGACCCCAGATGCCTCTATTATTTGGGGGCCACCGTCGGCAGCAACAATACCGGAGAACTGTCTGCGTGGATAGAGGCAGCCCTTTACCTTCTCCAAGCTACACCGCATGAATCTGTAACTTTTGTCTATGACAGTCAATGGGTACACGGCATGGTCACTGGTAAGTACAAGCCCAAACGTCACAAAACGCTAGTCTACCTGTCAAAAAAAATTTACCACCAGTTACAAGCTAGTACCACTATTCACTGGCAATGGGTTAAGGGACACTCAGGAGAAGAGTACAATGAATTAGCGGACGAGCTAGCAGGGAAAGGAGAAGCAGATGGCCAATGGGTAGGTGGCCGCAGCAGCCAACAAACCCCTTTAACTCCCTCCACCTTACCAGAGGATCGGCGCGCCACCGCTCCTGCATCTTTGGATGCGCACAACGCTAAATTGGTGAATGCCCTCAAAACCGCTGAGCAAGCAGCTTTCCAGCCAGTAAGGTATGCACCTAAGGCGGTTTTTGTGCTTGGCTCAAACCTGTTTTACATTTTTTGATAACGCATGTCTTGCTAACCTTGGTGTGTATATCTAGCCGCAAAGCTGCTCGAACCTGGAAAGGTTTTTTTTGGAACCCGTCACGAAGCACACTTGCTAGTTCATAAAGCTGACATTTTTGTCCACGCTGCTGACATGTCGTTTCATGCAACTTGCTTTTCACATTGGAACAAGATAGGTTTTATATCCTCTCGTCCGGGGGGAAACTTTTGCCCCGAAAGGGGGGTACATGGACCTGGCTCCCGGCCACAGCATTGAGGAGGCAGTTGAGCTCTTGCGTGCTGCAGACTTCCGTCTGTTTTGCATTGAGCATCGTGTGTCTACGCTTGAAACTCAGATTGGCGAGTTGCGTGAGGTGCAAAGAAGGCTTAACGCTTCTGTCCTTCGTATTGAAGCCTTAGAACAGGAGATTGCAGTGCTCAAGCATTGCTTTTCTTCGTCGCAGCCGGGGGTCAGTCTTCGTTCTGAAGTGGCATCTCTTAACGTAGTGGTTACTCAGATTGTGGACTCAGTCAATCGCTTGGAGCCTGAGTTGCAGCTTCTCTTGCGTTGGAGGGAGCGCTTTACTTCAACTTTCCAGACTGAGCTTAAGGAGCTCGGACATCAGCTGTGTGTGACATCGTCCCAATTGGCGATCTCCCGTC